TCGTTTTGTACACAAAATTGAAGATAAATTTTATGAGATTCTTATTGGTGTGGTTCCAAATCCAACCAGTGGCACACAAGTTGGATTCTTTGGAATTTTAAGGCTATATTATGATTTACTTAAACGTTGGTTAAATCAATTACAACATAAAAAACCTAATGAAATAGTTGGGAATTTTAGTGACGTCGAAGATCCAAGTATATGGACCATTATTGAAGAAACAGAAGCAAATGGATTATTGTTTCTTTGTAGCCGGTCTTGCATGATCAGAAAGTATGCAATCAGCATTCTTCATCTTGCCGCTGAGCTCGATTTGCAGTTTCATGAACGCAAAGAAAAAAACAACTCGATACGGTCGCGTGCTGTTAGTGTCGAAAGCAAACGATCTGGTGCTGCAGATGATGATGCTAGTAATATAAGAAATGATGAATCTTTACTCAATAATAATTCTGGGATCAAATTGTCATATTCTTCAAACAGAAATGATCATAAATCGGATTATACGTGCATTATTCATGTGCTTGAACGTGGGGGTAAAGAATTAATTAAGTTCGACACAGAACTGCAAAATTCTCTGTCGATTGTTGAAAGTGTAAGATTGTCAAACCTTCAAAAATCAGGGAAAGACGTTCTTCTACGCCTCGTTGAAAGCGAAAATCCAACTGATGCGGCTATATGGGCTCGATGCTTCCCAAATTTCATTAAAATTTGCACAGAATATTGCCCTGTGACAGTAGCGATATGTAGAAACAATATTTGTGCTCGTATTGTACAAATGCAAATGGCTATTGTCACAGCCGGTGAAAGTCTTTCGCGTACACCCACAGCAACTTTAACGGTACCGAGATTCCATTATCAAAAGGTAATTTTGTCTGCAACGGATGGACTCATTGAGCAATGGAGATCTTATTTAATTGTCGCTTGTTCCACTATTACTTCAATTGACGAGTTAGCAGACCAAAAATCGTCATCTCATGCTCGTAAACGAACAGCTCTAACTGAACGTATTGGTTCCGCTAGAGACCTATTCCGTATGATTTTACCTCTTCTCACATCAGAACATTCCACAATAAGAGAATCTGTTGTAACCGCCTTGGGAAATATTAACGAAAATGTTTATAAAGTTTTGCTTGAAGATATGCAACCTTACTTCAAATCAGTAATAGAAGATTACAGGACTAAAGTTAACAAACAGCAATACTCTAATATACATAAACGTTC